TTTTTTTTTCATAGATTTACTTTCTAAAGAAAGTCTTAGCAAGATGAGTTGACCAGAAATGAAATTTCTAAAACTAGAAGATGTTCTAATTCCGATTTTTAAGTCATGTTTCACAATAGTTATAATTACGGTTAGCAAGTATAGAAAAACTCCCTTTTCTCAAAATAAATTACTCGTTCCTATGCACTTTCATTTTTTAGGTGGATCAACTAAAGAAGTATGATGCGGAAAATGCTATTCTTCTAGTCGATAAAGGGCGGCAGTTTGTAGCACGTTGGCACGATTATTTGGTTTGTCAATAATCATTGTCTGTTTATCTAAAGCTTTATCCAACCTGTTTCAGTTTTCTGACTTTCACGATCCATATATAAATGCCACCGAGGCCATTCCAACGTTTTTTCTTTACACCCACGTCTTTCAGGAAGAAATTTTGGTAAGATTGGCTTTTCCGGTTGCCGAATTCTCTTTCGTATTCAAATGAAAAATTTTATAGGGTCTCGCCAAAGACAAGAACATTTCTCAGCTGCAGCTGAGATTCCACAGACCACTGGAAGGTCCAATAGACCTTTCAATGGTCATTATATGGCTCTTGGCTGTCGGATGTGTAATGGGAGGGGGTGTATGGGCGTTCTTCCGGCACAGGTACGCCATATTAATTGTGGAGTTAGTAAAATTAATCGAGGAGGTATGGCATGGTAATGATTTCAGAGCAGGAAAGGATAAGTTGCACGTTAATGCATCTTCAAGTGCAGGCTACACTTCTCAGTCGGATTCGAATAGTTCCTTCGAAAGTCGCTGTAGATGCCTTGCAAGACACTCAAATTTTCTCGCTATTATTGTCTTGATGATTATTGTTGTTGGAGTTCTTATGATCGGTTTCTTTTTCCGTCCTGTTTTAGGTACTGAAATCTACATTCAACTTTTACTGTAATTTTTCCTCACAAATATTGATTTTAGTTACATTTTTCAACGTAACACTTGTGTTATTCGGATCGATAAGTGTCTACGCTTGCATCATGGCAGTGCTCTCAAATATTTCTTTCT